ATATTTTAAACGTAAATCTAAGAAATTTAATTTTGTATCAATATCTAATATAAGTTTTATTTAATTAAAGACCAAATTTTATTAATTTAAATGTAAAAAGTCAAAATTAGATATATATTCTAGGAAGAAGGTAATATTAATAATAACGAGTAAATAATTAATCTTAATTAAAACATTATCATATACTAAATACTTTTAATTAAGAAAATAAAATATAATTATATGTATATGGACCCACGTCATTCATTGAATAAAATGAGGCATCCATATGAGATGCCACTATTGAAAGATTTAGATGTTGAGAGAGGTGCTCAATTGGCATTTTAAAAGTAGAGTCCACACTTCAACATCTAGTGAGAGATGCTAACATTGTGGATGATCTAATTTGTATTGACCAGACTCTTACAAACTTTCGAGGGATAGATTAACCCTTACAAATACTTTTTTAAAAAAGTAGAACTAGCGATAAGCCCATACGATTTTTTTAAAATAAAAAAAATTAAATGGACAATTTTCTACTCGTAAATTAAATATTGATGTTCCCAATAGGTTTCAACATATGACAAATGCACGTCCTAAAAAAAGTTATGGAATTAAAGTCATTCATCACATACAAAAAATAAAAGCAATACATATCTTGTTAAGAAAATTTTGTTATTCAAAACAAAAAGTACAAAGAGAGTGGACACTTTGGGGAGGTCCAGACCCGAACAAGAGGATCAAGAAATCGAAAAAACTCAAATTTCAAAAGGCTGAACTCTTACAAAGGGAAAGATTCCATAAATAGAATTGTTAGAATATAAATAATTGTTCTAGCGCCACAACCACATGCTTGAGCTTTTGGTTGAATAGGTTCCTTGACAAGAATAAGCCAAGCATAGACCTTCCATATATTAGTGATTAATTACTTCTAAAGTTACTACAACGTCTTCCTCGCATTTTGGCCTTCAAAGTTTGTGGTATTGCTCCCTATGTATTGTCTTCTAGTTTGCATGGGGTCTATCCCTTGCGGCTCCTTTGTGAACCACCACTTCTACATCTTCCAGATCTAGCCTTCATCGATTCAGCAAAAACACTAGCATTAACAAGAGGGGTAGCAAGTGTATATGGTAGCAAGGAGTGAAATAACTATAATATCATTTCATTAAGGAGTGAAATAACTATAATATCATTAAGAACAATAGTGTTAGCAAGAATACTAACATTAAACATGATTGGTAGCAACAATATGATCAACAAGAGAGGTAAGGATGGTATATATATGTTGAATCACTGGTGTTAGCAAGACTCGACCCCTATCATTAACATGAGGGGCAATAACAGTATAACCCATAGAATCATTTGCATTTACAACACTAGTAAAAATAATATTAAAATTAGCCACCATATAGGATACAAAAGTAGAGGGTTGTTGGTACCTTCCTTATCTCTCAAAGGCCGAAAGACTAGCCTTTTATGGCAGAAGCAAGAAATGACAAGGCCAAGGTTGGATCATTTGGCTCTCTACACATGCATGAACACTTTATAATGTTTTCATTAGAAAAGAAAATAATTAAAATATACAAATCATCAAGAAGAATCACATGTACAGAGAAGCCAAACTAATTAAAACCTATCCTTTCAATAATTATTTGAACTCTTGCAAGATCAGGCCTTCCAAATGTGAAACAACCCACTAATCGCAAGGAAAAAACCTTAATCTCTTCTTTGAAGAAGGAGATAGAGGGGAGGCCTTTGTATCTAGAGGGAGCTTTGAGTTATCAGTAGAGGCAATTTCAGCAAAAGAATTATAATCAAGGGAGTTGTATATGGTACATCCAGATTTATCTAGAAATAGGTACAAATATAAAACCCAGATCTGCATTGACCCGCCCAAACCCAGTTGACCCGGTAGAACCTGTGGACCAGGTCAACTCGGCTGACTCGCGGTTTCATCAAAAAGTATTTTTTGTCTATAAAATATAATGATGGATATATGGATATAGGACACTAAACCTCACCATACAACTCTCTAAGACTATATATATATAGACACACACAAATAATAGCTAATAGATAGATTAAATGGTTATAAAATATTTTATAATCTAAATGAATCAAATATTTTTAAATGAATCGAATATATTTAAACGAACCGAATATGTTCAATATATTTAACGAACCGAATACAAATCTTAAAAAATATTCGAACCAAATTCGAATTCGATATCACTTTATCTTAACGAATACGAATATTATTCATGAATATTCGATTCGATTCAGTTCGTTTACAACCCTAGTTGCGGCCATGACCCCTAATCTAAAAGTCTACAACCGCCCCTTGGCTTTTGAGGACTTTATTTTAAATATTTGGAAAAATTATCTCAAATAATTTCACTTTTTTGTTATTTAAAAAATAATTTCACTTTTCATTGTTACTAGAAATAATCCTACTTTTCTGCATGTGTGTGCATTTTGGGTCGCCATTAAAAAGTTAACGGCCACTTAACGATATTTTTGGAAAATGCCTATTTTTCACAAATAAATGATGGGTGAGATTATTTCACAAATAAATGATGGGTGAGATTATTTTAGGTAAATTCTCTTTTTTCATTTTTAATTTCCAGAATAAAAGTTAAAAGTATTTTTTAAAAATGTTTTTTTATAAATAATACTCCACCAAATTTAAGTGTTTATTTAGAGTGAAATTAATTATTTTTTTCAATAATTGAAAATTGGTAACAAATGAACGACAAATTATTCTACACAATGGAGCTAATTTATTTATTTCACAATTCACTATATTTTTTATAAGTTGTAACTATCTTTCTTTAGCGACACTTGTGAATATGTTTCGATAATTCTATGTAAATATTTTTTGCAACACAACGTTACAATAGTTGTAAAAATAAAAGAATGATTTTTCCTCTGAAATAGAACTTTATTTTTATAACTCAATACACTTTTTGTTGTATTGCAATTTTTTCATGAACATTTCGAAATGTTTATTGATAATATTCTATTCCCCGTATTATTTTTTTCCAAAAATAATAATTCAAAAGGTGTGAATATGGCATAATATATATTTTTCTCCAAAATGGCACTAATTAATTTTATAACTCACTACAATTTTTTGTATTACAATTTCTTTAGAGAAAAATGTATCGTTTACTTCCGAATTCTTTAGAAATTGAACGGTTATCTCTAAATATTAAAAAGTACACTAAATACCACTGAATTCTTCAAAAATTGCACGGTTTACTCCTAAACATTAAAAAGTGCACCAAATACTCCTGAGTTTTTTGGAAAATTGCACGGTTTAACCATAAACATTTAAATTAAGACGATAATTTAGGGAAAGGTATTTTGGAGAATTCATAAGGGCCAGATGAATTATACTCGCAATTTCTACGCACGAGAGCAACACACTCCCTATTTACATTTTATGACCAACCGCGAAACATTTTAAATTGTTTAGGGGTGCTTGGTGCACTTTATAATATTCACGGGCAAACCGTGCAATTTTTGAAAAATTAGAGGGTAAACGATGCACTTTTAATATTCAAGGTTAAACCATGAAATTTCAAAGGAGTCCGAGGGTAAACAGTGCACTTTTATCTTGCTTAATTATTATATATATATACTTATTTATTGAACATTGTAGCATTTATTTCAGTCATTATATATACTCCGTAGTTGGTAATTTTTCACGTAATCTACTCAACAACACCAATACTGAATATTTTATTTTGGCTTTATAATTTTGACTTTATAATATAGTTATATAGTTATATTTTATCATTTTACTTTAGTACCCATCTATCTTAAAAATAACTTCCCAGTTTGGCTTTCATGGTCAAAATTTTAAATCTTAACCGTATATTACGGATAAAATACATTAAAATTTTATACAAATTTAATATCAACAAATTCATTTTTAAACATAGTTTTTAAATATATTATTTTTATAATATATTTTTATGTATATAGATATATTAAAGGTCAAAGTGTTGCATCGAAGACCTTAAAAAGTCAAATGAAAAATCAATTTTAGGAAGGATAAATTATTACTCCCTCTGTCCCACAAAAAAGTTCTCATTTTGACCATAAATTGGTCAAATAGTTACACGCTTTGACCATAAATTAAATATAATCTAAATAAACAAATGCTAAAAAAATTTGAGATATCAAGACTAGATCCTTAGACGAATCCAATTATATTAAATTTATTTTATAATTGAATATACCTTTCTCACAATTTGTAGTCAAAGCGTGTAAATATTTGACTAAATACTTTCCTTATTTTTCTCCAAAGTCAAAACCGGGAGGGTTTTGTGGAACAAATGGAGTAGTTATATTTTATCATTTTACTTTACTACCCCTTCTGTCTTAAAAACAACTTCCCAATTTAGCTTTCGTGGTCAAATTTTTAAATCTTAACCGTATATTACGGAAAAAATACATTAAATTTTTATACAAATTTAATATCAACAGATTCATTTTTAAACATAATTTTTAAATATTTTATTTTTATAATATATATTTATGTATATAGATATATTAATGGTCAAAGTGTTGCATCAAAAATTTTAAAAAATCAAATAAGAAGTTACTTTTAGGACGGATGAATTTTTTTTTGCTCTTGGGCGATAAAGTCTCTTTAAGTTTCGTAACTTAATTTGAATTTGCACACGTTAGATTCGTCTCTTCCAGATCTATAAATTTGACAATAATAAGAGAATTTTAAAAATATCTTGTTTTTAGTAATCTCGTTTCAATTTTTATCTAATTTTAATTAGCAAAAACTAGAATTAAGGTTTTTTGGACATTCCTTATTAAATTTTAGGATATATTTTAGATGTTACATTACCCTTCACTTAAATGGTGCGTTAATAAAGTATTTAAGTCAACCGGGTTACAAATACTAATGCACATTCAATCCGGGCATTATTGTGGGAGCATCTTCCATCAAGAAAACATAACGTATGTTTGTGCTATACATAGCTCATATCAGTACATAAAACAACAAAATCAACGCACTGGCTTTTTTAGTGCCATACATAAAATTAAAGAAATCTAAGGTTCTCATAATATAACAAGAATGGTGGCTTTAGAAACCATTGAAGTGCTACTTGGTGTTTTTGCTTTCTTTTGTGCTCAAAGCCACAGTTTCACCGTTGATATCATCCATTCCCATTCTCTAAACTCGCCTTTTTACAACCCTTCAAAGTCAAGGGCCGAGTATGCAAAGGACACTCTTCTCCAATCCCAATCACGCATCGCCCGAATGAAGCGACATGCGCCGAATGCTACCCTGGGCATCCCTGGCTCTGCCACGGCTAAGTTTGCAACTGACGTTGAATACGCCATCGCATACTACGCCATGAACTTCTCCATCGGCACGCCGCCCGTGGAGAGGTTTTCTGCAGTAGACACCGGTAGCGATCTGACATGGATACAATGCGAGCCATGTAGAGGAATATGCTTCCCACAAGACATGCCGTTGTTTGACCCGTCAATGAGCTCATCGTACACAAGGTTGCCATGCGACACCCCGTTATGCCTCGGGGATGGCTCGTATTCATGTGACACCTCCACCAACCTATGTCGTTATGATAACGGCTATATGGACGCGTCGTACACTCATGGTGACCTAGCTTACGATACTCTTATAGTCGGTGACACATCCTTCCCGAATTTCGTGTTCGGGTGTGGTTTCAATAACTCTGGAACGTTTGCACACCTGACCACCGGAATTTTCGGCCTCAGCAACGGCAATATTTCCTTCATCAAACAGGCCAACATTGGGAGGTTCATGTATTGCCTTCCATGGTACTACGAAGCTAATGTCTCCACACACATTGCATTCGACTCTGACGCTGTAATCGCGGACCCAGACGGTGTCGTTTCAACCCCTATGGTCGACACAGAATTTGGGTACTGGGTCACTTTAGAAAACCTTAGTGTCGGGGTAAAACGGTGTTGTGCAAGCCCCTGAACGAGTCGACTGGCAGAGTGCTGGTCGACTCGGGGACCACTGCGACCTACATCCCAGACGAGTTGCACGAGGCATTTATAACAGAGTTAAAAAGTGTGGTAAAGAGCACCCCGGTGAGTGACCCAGGAGGCACGTTTAAACTTTGTTACAACGTGTCAGACATTGCCAAAGAAGAGTTTCCGACGGTGGCGGCACATTTTGCTGGGGGTGCCGTCGTTCAGCTTTCACCCAAAGCATTGCTTAACTATTATGTGCTTGATGATGTTGTTTGCCTGCCGTTATCAAACGGTGGTTCTATTTGGGGAAACCTCTCACAAATTGACCATATCATCTTGTTTGATTTGGTTGCTAGATCCATTAGCTTCAAGCCATTCGACTGCGATCATTTTTAGATGATAATTATGGGCATGAGTGGTTCGGAGGGTCTGCAAAGTGGCTAACCGTACAGGATCCCTAAAATTTTAGGGTCCCATATTTTTAAGTTGATAATTAATCTTGAAAGATAAATATTCTAAAATAATAAAATAGGGCATAAATTTTGAACCGCGACAATTTCATTTTTCATTTTTCGAGACTGGCGGCCCTCATCATTAGATCTCTTCTTGATATATGCTTTCAATTCTTTTGCATATACTCCGTATCTTTTTAAAATAATCTTTCATTGATTTCAACTATATACACACTCCTATTTCTTTACCAACACGTAAGCAAATGGCACTAAAAATAATTAAATCTAAAAGGGCACCAATGTTGTTTGAAAAGTTGACATTTTTACACCACACACAGATATGTTAAGATATAAATTTTTCATTTATTCAATTAATTAAGTCATGTTACATCATAGTTACAGGAAGCCGGTTCCCAAAGAAGCAAATTCTCTATCATCACCATCAAGTTATCATTTGATAGCGCTTGAGGTCTTATACGCTGTGATTATCCAATATTTGGTATCATTCAGACCAGAAAATCATGTTTTTAGTAAATTAAAACAAGAGATAGAACTTGACACGGAGTAGCTAATATTGGAAAAACAAAAATTAAGATTATCTTTTAAACTAATGAAATTTGCAATGAATAAGACTTAAACATAAGTCATTTTCCAAAGTAGGACTTGAACTTTTTTATTCTCTAAATAGGACTTAATAATATCTAGTGAGAAGAATAATATCCAAGTGATGCTGGACATTTAGTTGAATAATGACTAATAGATAATGACCAATGGTCCTACATTGGAAAATAAAAATATATGGTCCTGTATTGAAAAAGTCATTATGTTTTAGTCCTATTTAGATAAACTATCCAATCTGCTGCCATCCAGCAATATCTCTGGGTTTTAAGAATATACCACTGAATTTTTTTCTTACTGACCTTCGGAGCATTAATCAGTTTTTTTAAAGAAACCCATAGCTTATACTCCCTCCGTCCCCCTAAGAACTTCTCATTTTGACTTTTTGTGATTTTTAAGGAAAGTTAAAAAAAGATGAAAATTTACCATAATACCCTTATGAAAAGGCAATGTTTAATTATGTAATCCTAACTGTAACTGTTAGATGAATGTGTACTTACGTAGTTACGTAGAAAGAGCCTTTTACCGATGAGCGACAACAAATAAAAGATGGTGAAGAGAGTCAAATTAAAACGATTTTATGCGGCCGAAGACAATCACGAATATCGGCAAATGATGAGAGGCAACGAAGTAAGTTCAACAGGCACTAGGTATGCAAGCGACATTTGGATTAGAAAACGATGAAAAATGGTGCTCCATCAAAACAAGAATAACGAATATCTTCACTAGGATAGAAGAGCTTCGTTGCCGCAACAATCTGATAATGCTAACCTAGTGATAACAACTTTGGGAAGAAGGATAAGAGAGTAAATTCACTTTGAAAGAAATGGTAAGCTAATAAATATGAAGTATTTTAGGATAAAATGATAAAAGAATTAGAAATCACCCTAAATAGGATTAAAACATAGAGAAAAGTATCAAAATAGCTAGGACTTTCATGTTTCCCCCCTGAAATAGGACTTCACATTGTAGTAATGTGATTGTAATGTGACAATGTACATGTGCACATTGCTATACTTTTTGGTAATGTACATGACCATATTTGGTAGGGCCATGCTACACTTACACCAAAAATTGTACCCATTTGTACACCGCAGTTATACACAAACATTTCGATGGTTTACACTGACACAAATGTTGGTGCGTTAACAAAAATTTACACGGACACAAAGTGTTGGTGCGTTAACAAAAATTAGTTTTACATCAACACAAAATATCAGTGCAAAGTTTGGGGTACAAATAGCTTTATCCTATTTGGTGATGTAAGTGCATTTTAAGTTTTGTTTTGGGAATAAAAACATAGAAGTCCTATTTTAGTATATTTTAAATGTTTTAGTCTTACTTTAGTCTTTCTTTGTAACGTTTTGAAAAATATCCCGTTTTAAAACTCCCTACGCACGAGCTTGTTTTTGGAGAGTAAAAAATGTTGCACCAACCTCTTGTAGGGATTGATTAAAATGTTGCACCAACCTCCGTGTGTATTAGAATTTCTATTGAACTTTAACTACTACCTCCGTTTCTCAAAAGAGTTTCTCTTTTGACTTTGGGGGAAAATAAGGAAGTGTTAAATTGTAGTTGACTTTCCAATTTTGTCCTTGATGTGATGGATAAAAGTAAGATGTGATAGTTTAGTTGTTAGTGAAAAAGTATGATGTGATAGGTAGGGTATGAAAAGGTAGAGGTAAAAGTGGTTTTTTAATATAAAGGGGAAGTGTTTTAAGAAAAACAAAAAAATGAAAAGGAAGGGTTTTAAGAAACGGAGGGAGTATTATAAAATACTTATGTCACCTTTTATTTTAAAAATATTTTATGTACATAGTTTTAAACTGGTACACCGTGTAGTCATGTCGTCTGTTAGGGCTGTGCATTATTCGGTCCAAACCCGGACCGACCCGAAGACCGGCTAAAACCGGACCGGACCGGTCCTAATTCGGTCCGGTCTCCGGTCCATCAATTTCCGTTATCCGGGTTCCGGTCCAGTCTGGTCCAAACCCGGTGAGACCGGTGGACCGAATATATGGGCTTATATTTTACTATTTTTTAGTATATGGACTTAAGTACCATACACAAACCCATTAGTCCATTACCCAAAATCCCAAATTAAGGAATCCCAAATTAAGGAATCCAGTCAATCCACCTCCTACACAACCCTATCCAATACTCCCAATAGCAAATCCACAGTCCACACACGCCATAGACACACAACTCCACTTTTCTCGCCGGCAAAAGAAATACTCCTTATCAAACACAACCCATTCCTCCGAATAGTATGACAAAACGCAGGGCTTTCTCATCGGCATAGCCACAGCGCCACTGGAAAACTTCTGATTGAAGAAGATTAGATTTTTTTGGAGACACGCTGGGGAAGGGCTTTCTCATCGGCAGTCGGCACGCAGTCGTCCACTCGGTCCGGTCGGCACGCAGTCGTCCACTCGGCATATTCTCCCTTATTCGGTCCGGTCCGGACCGGTCCACTTTTTTCGGTCCGGTCCCGGTCCGGTCTTACACTTTATCGGTCCGGTCTACGGTCCATTACTTTGCTCTTATTCGGTCTCGGTCCGGACCGGGTCGGTCCGAGTTTGGACCGATGCACAGCCCTATCGCCTGTTATAGTTGTTGTATTTAAACTAGTACACCCTATAATGAATCATTAGCAGATTAATTGATGCAATACACGTAGACCTCGCAAAACATAATTGAAATCAATTACTCGAACTGAATTATTCGAAACTGAAAATGGAATTATCAGAAAATTGAAGATCAGATCTATAACCGAAAACCCGAAATGATCCAAACCAAAGTAAATTCGAACTAAATTAATCATACCCGATTTAAATCTGAAATAGATTAGGTCCGAACTGATTAAACCCAAAACTGATAATACCGTACCCAAAACTGATGAAATCCAAAACTAATAAGATTTGAAACTAATAAGATCTGAAACTGTTTCTATCTTTTTCATATTATATTTTTACTTTTATTTTACGATTTGAACTAGTTATGTTACTTGGTCCCTCCGTCATAAAATAGATCACCATCCCTCCTAAACAAATTGCAAAATCTCTTGGTCTTTTAATTTTTTTTTCAGAAATCGAGTAAACATCAAAAGTATATTTCAAAATAATTACGGAGTAATTAAAAGGATTAAAAGATTTGAAAAGAATTAATTCCCGTTCAGTGACGATAGGGAAAAAGCATTCCCGTTCAGTGCTGTCAGGTGGAAAAAGATTTTAACGGTACTGCTTGTACCGTAAAGTTTAAAAAAAAATTTAAATCAATTAACGGTACTGCCTGTACCGTTAATCCAAAAATAATAATTTTCTATCCAAAACCACCCCTTCCCCTCAATTCGGTACTAGCAGCGGCGCACCTTCTTCTTAAACGGCCCGTCCATTTATTGTACTTCTTAGATGACCATCCATTTATCATACTTTAATTATTTTTATTATTGTATTAATTTGGATGATAAAAACTTTTTATTCTTCTATTAGTTTGGATGATAACATCTTTATTATTGTATTAAATTTGGGTAGATATTAATTTGTATAATTTTCAATATAACACCATTCAATCCACCCAACTAAAAAAAACTCACATTACACTACAAATAATCCTGCACCATACAATTCACCCAACAAAAAAATATCTCACATTACACTACAATCCTACACCATTCAATTCACCCAACTAAAAAAATCTCACATTACACTACAAACAATCCTGCACCATACAATCCACTCAACTTAAAAAATATCTCACAATACACTACAAACAATCCTACACCATTCAATCCACCCAACTAAAAAAATCTCACATTACACTACAAACAATCTTGCACCATACAATTCACCCAACAAAAAAATATCTCACATTACACTACAAACAATCCTACACCATTCAATCCACCCAACTAAAAAAATATCTCATCTATATATTTCTTGCTTAACTCTCACAATCTCTCCACCGAGCTTTACTCTCACATGTCTACTCACCTCTTACCAAAAAATGGCCTGTGATGGTAGTTTTGTCTTGCTAGCCCATTGGAACGGTGAGATAATGATCAAGAACAATGAGGTGGAGTACTCATTGCATTCAAACAAGGCCTTTGTCTTTTATCTTGATATCTCATTCGAGGAGGTCTTCAATGAACTCCTTGATGCTATTGGTGAAGATAATCTCAATTCCATCAAAAACATTTGGGGAAAATATCCCAAATACAAGGATGGAGTTTATGCTGCTTCACGCCCTTTCCCCATTTCCGAGGAACGAACATGGAGGTGTTTCGTTCAAAAGGCAACGAAGGAATATGATGAACTTGAGGTTTACCTAGATGCACACAAAGTTGAAGTGTTGGCTAACGAGGAAGAAGAAATGGAGGAAGAGCAAAATCAAGGCATATGACTGGTTGTTGGCTTTGCCATTAGAGAAGTGGGCACTCTGTTCCGATGGTGGGGCTCGATATGGAATCCTGACCACTAATCTTTCAGAAAGCTACAATCACGTTCTTAAGGGATGCCGATCTCTTCCGGTATATGCCATTGTGAAGACGACGTACGAGCGATTAGTAAAATTATTTGCAGAAAGGCGTACAAACGGATTTACATGGCTATAAGCGGGATTTAAGTTCCCAAAATATATTTGGAACGAGGTGAGACGCATGGAAGACCATCGTTTACATTGCCATGTTATCCCACATCATCCGCAACAAGGGATTTATCGGGTCGTTGTTGAGGGTAACGCTGGAGCTACCGGTAGATTAGATGAGATTGTCGTGCATCTGGGCCAAAAATTGTGCACTTGCGGGAAATGGGCCACATTGCACATGCCATGTGTGCATGTCTATGTCGTATGTCGTCATTGGCANGTAGAAAGGTGGTATTTACCATTAGGAGTATGGACAAAACCTGAGCCAGAGTGTGTGATGGGTAGGGATTGACCATTGCCTACGGTAATAGCATCAGTACCGGTGTATTGATGAGGAGATTGTAGCTGAGAATAATCAGACGTGACATGGGTGTTGGCACCAGTGTCCAGATACCAGTTTCCAGAATGATTACTCGTAGATGCATGCATTGCACGGGGAGCACTAGAGGAAGAGTTCGCAGTATAAGAATCATCAAATCGATACCAGCACGCAGACGCAGAGTGACCTCGTTTCTCGCAGATTTGGCAGGTTGGCAGATCCCGTGACGGTCGACCGTTTCCCTAGGACGGTCGACCGTTGTTCCTTTCTCCACGTCCGCTGTTGTATCCACGTCCAGGTGACGGCCGACCGCGGTAGCCTCCTCTACCGCGACCTCGACCGTTCGTAGCGAGAAGTGTTGTGCGAGGTTCGGTGATAGTAGACTCGGTGAGGCTGAGTTTATTCTCCATCTCCAGGTTTATTTCTTCGGAGATCAGCCATCCAGAAAGCTGATTTAACGAAATAGTGGTATTGTTCATGCGAATGTTTTGCTTAAAGGATGAGTATTCGGTGGGAAGACCACGAATAACAGCATTCACCACATCACGTTCAGGGATCTCTTCTTTCAAGGCATCGAGATCCGAGAGAATAGTTGCCATATCATCAAGGTATCGTGTCATAGTTTTGGTACCTTTACGAAGAGTGTGGAGTTTGTCCCGAAGTTGATAAACATGAGCGGTGGACACAGAGTTGTACCGTGCGGCCAAATCATCCCAGAGGGCAGCAGATGTGGTGAAGCCGCGAGCATGTTTGTGAACGGATGGGCTGATGACCGCTAGGAGGCAGGCACGGATCTGTGTGTCAACGATGGTCCAGGAGGTATACTCTGGATTAGGGACGGTTTTATCGTTTTTGGAGATAGTTGGCGCTAGGGCTGCTTCATGACCATCAATCCATCCAAGGAGGAGATTAGCTGAAAGAGCTGTCTGGACATTGAGAGACCATGCCGGATAATTTGTTTCGGTGAGTTTTTCTGGGATTAAGTTGTGGAGACTCCGAAGCAAAAATTTTACTCCGGAGGGTAAGGACGCCAAAGGATCCGATGGGGCTGCCATGGTGGGCGGCGGTCGGAAAAAAAGAGAGGCTAGGTTTTTGAAAGCCTCAGCTCCGATACCATGATACAATTTGATAATAACTTGTCTTATTGAATATTGAGAGATATGACCCTATATATAGGGAATACAAGAGTAATCAAAGTACAAGTAGGAAAGGAAAGAATAATCCTAGTAGGAAAGGAAAGAAGTATCCTAATTTAATTATACTTCCTAATAGCAACATTACTGTTGATGATCTCATCCCACGAGTGTTTTCACTTCAGAATTATCTTGATGCATGTTCTGGAAGTGTTATGCCACTACAAAACGAAATTGAATGGCCTACCCTTGGTTATGAATTAGTCCATCCATTTACAGGGCAAAAGTCACAGGCCGGTCGGCCAGTGAGTACTCGCTTCACAAATAATATGGATATGCGAGCACGAAGACATCGTCGGGGAACTTAGTTAAATTATTAATTTCAATGTGGGATTTTTATATATGTACGACAACTTTTATTTGTATGCTTTTTATTTCAGTAGTAGTGCATCAAATTAATAAAAAATTTATTATTGTTCAAATTTAATGCCAATATCTAACAAAGGGATGTATTTAATTTCGTAATTATAAATAACTAATAGATTAACGGTACTGGCTGTATCGTTAATCTAAGAAAATAAAATTACGGTACTAGCAGTCCCGTTAATGCTTAAATATGACCACTCTGCGCAATGTCAGACTCCCCTTCACCATTTGGGAATGGTTTTTCAAAAATTGTACTGATTGGGAATTCACCCATTTGAAAAACTCAACTATTTTTCAATGAAAGTACAAATCTAAAATTTAAGCCTTGTGTACATATAGTTTATCCCTACCCATTAGCCTTTTGTGAAATACCTTTTTAAGACACCTAAAGATTACTTTTTTCCCATCCAAACATACATGCAACTATGTAATGCTTTAGCGCAACACAAAAAAACTTGTGGTCTAGTGACAATTAGAAAACCATTGCACAATATGAGGTGTTCAATTGATAGATTGATAATTAATTGTAATAGTACAAAATTAAAAGCAAAATATGGATAATTGAATTTTAATTAGAAATTAAATAATATATTTTAAAGATGTATATCCGAACACTCAAAACTGAATATATCCGAACTAAACTAGATCTGAAAGTGAAATATAAACGAAGCAAAATATTTCAAATTGAAATTTATCCGAGCTGATTTGTATCTAATTGTATCTCAAACGGCTCGGAATCTAACCAAATAAAAAATGTATAAAATCGAACCAAATCCAAACCATAAATAAACTAAACATAACGGATTAACTAATATTATCACAAGGATATGTGAACCGAATAAATTTAATCCCTTTGGCACCTCTAATTACATGGCACTGCCGCTCTATTCATTTCGTTCTTGGAAATGCCTATTTCATTTATGAGGCATTCGTCTATTTCATTTTGGTCTTTGGAATAGGTTAATTTGGATTGTACTTAAGGATAGGTTACCTAAAATGAAACTCTTTCTTCTTTTTTTTTTTTGAAAAAGAAAAAAAGAAACTTGGTAAACGTCTATAAAAATCAATTATAGTATAGTAATAAAACCGCCTGCCATTTCATTAATTAATTAATAGGGAGTAAGCAATACACACACATTCCTCAAAAAAAAAAAGACACACTGATACACACTTAAATACGGAGTACTCCGTACTTCACATGAAATTAATACTAAAAAAGAAGAGATAAACACTTAAACACTTGACATGACAACTAGTACAGTAATTAACACATAAATACTCCGAACGGGAGGCAATGGCGGCGGAGGGATAGTGGCGTTACCTCCGCAGCCATTCGCAGCTATTATGGAGAAGAAGATGAGGACGAAGGACAGAGTTGCCCCCATTTCGATTAGTTTTCGGTGTTGTGTTGTTTGCTTAGTGATTGCTTGTCCACTTATTTATACACAGCTGATTTGGTGGCATGCAATCATATGTGCGTCTCTGTATCTACACAATAACTACACATCTACTCCGTAATTAATTAGGGATTAGTTCTCCATTCCATATTAACGGTCCATTTTGATTTTTTTGGTACATTAAGAAATGAATGTAGACATAATGTATGTCTATATTTATTCATTTCTTAATGTACCAAGAAAGTCATAATGGACAGTTAATTTGGAATGGAAGGAGTATGCATGAACGCATGTAATATACTCCATGTATTTAAGGTGTAATTATTATTTTTATTTGATGGTAATAATGATGTGAAGGAGCTAGGCTAGGGAAAAGGACGATGAGCCCCTTCTCCCGAGATGAGAACCCTCCGATCTGGTTGTAAGGTTACTGAGAAGAGATAAAATTAAATCACAGGTGATTACTGAGAGAAAGTGCATTCTGCGTCTATTACTTGCAGAGCTCCTGTGTTTGTAATCATAGTTGCCTCTTAGCACAGTTGCCCAAAATCGAACTCAGATCTACTCCTTTAGTAATCCTTGCCTTTGCCAACTGTACAACACTCACCAGTAGCTAGGCTAGGGAATAAAGTAAAGATCATGACTTTAATGAAATTAAATTACTGGAAAAAACCCCTTAAGTCACCGTTATATTTCAAATTAAACTGTGACTCAAAACTCAAACACACATGAAAAGTGATATTATTACGTACGGGAATGATCTCTCTCTTTCTTAAAACACTTCATATTTGATTTTTTTCTCTTTCCTAATGCACTTCAACTTTCTATTAAAAGATCACTTTTAGCCATACTTTTTCTTATCCTACTTATTTTTATATAATACTACCTCCGTTTCTCAAAAGAGTTCCTCTTTTGACTTTGGGGGAAAATAAGGAAGTGTTAAATTCTAGTTGACTTTCCAATTTTGCCCTTAATGTGATGGGTAAAAGTAAGATGTGATAGTTTAGTTGTTAGTGAAAAAGTATGATGTGATAGGTAGGGTATGGAAAAGTAGGGGTAAAAGTGGTTTTTTTAATAGAAAGGGAAAGTGTTTTAAGAAAAACAAAAAAATGAAAGAGGAAGGGTTTTAAGAAACGGAGGGAGTACTATATTACTAATAATTTACCTATCACATCTTACTTATACCAATTACATTAAGGCAAAATTATAAAGTCAACTACAAATATACAATCGTCATTTCTTCAATTAGTCAAAGTATGAATTGAAGTGTTTGCAAGAACAAAGGAAGTACTCCTACCCCTAAAGGTTTCCATAGTTTGACGTTTTCGGGTCAAACTGTAGCACCCTTTGATTGCATATTGTTGAAAAAATATACTCCCTCCGTCCCGTGAAACATTTCCCCTTTATTTTTTTATCCGTCCCACAAAACACTTCTCATTTCTATTAAAAAGTCACTTTTACCCCAAACTTTTTCATACCCTATGATGGGTGTATTCCACCCACGACCGGTCAAAGGAGAAGGCCAGATCGTTGACCGGTCAATCACGAGAGTTTTGGAAGGGAGACTTAAATCGTCAGCAAAACGATATATCATCGGCCAAAATATGACCGGTATACTTCACAAAAAAGTATACCGGTCAAACTACGTTGTCATCCTGTTTATTCCAGACTTCGATAAATTCATCCCTCGGAGATTACCCGGTGTAGTTTCTGGGGTTGGAAAGTGTCGGCGGAAGAGGATCTGCGAGGGCTTGGCGTGTAGCGACCCGTGTCAGTAGAGGACAACTGGAGATGCTGAAGAATCCATCCAAGGCGCTACTCGACAAAGGGAATGATCCCCCTCACAAGGCGACAAGGCAGCTCGAGGACGAAACCAGTCACCTCGCACCACATCAGCAGCATGCCCCCACGTGGGCGCACGTGGTCCTGTCCCCTTAGCCTAGTATAAATACTCATGTAAACCTCAGAAANCCCGTGTCAGTAGAGGACAACTGGAGATGCTGAAGAATCCATCCAAGGCGCTACTCGACAAAGGGAATGATCCCCCTCACAAGGCGACAAGGCAGCTCGAGGACGAAACCAGTCACCTCGCACCACATCAGCAGCATGCCCCCACGTGGGCGCACGTGGTCCTGTCCCCTTAGCCTAGTATAAATACTCATGTAAACCTCAGAAAGGGGGATCCGAATTCATTCTCTCTAAACTCCCTAGTAAAAGAACCCGTGCATTCTCCGTTATAATACAAATTGGGCTACAGGTGTTCCACCTAAAGTCCTACCGGTCAATCTGCGTGTTTTTACCTTTCTTACTTTGCCAAATCGAACAAACTATTCTAGACCCGGTCTAGTATAGTTTGACCGGTCAAGTAATTTACACCATCATTTTTGGCGCCACCCGTGGGACCGTTAAGGTTTCTTCTCCTAAACACAAACCTACCCACCAAAACACCACTCGAAATGTCTTCCAGCCAACAGATCAACGCTATTTCCGCTCAGGTGCATGCCACCAATGAGGGTGCCAGCACCCCAGTGACTGCAACCATACCGGTCATTTCAGCCCCGGTGTTGCCTCTGGGTCTGAGCTCTGTCCCGACGGCCAGCGTGATCAGTCCCTTCGCGACCCCCGTCCCTTCCGCCGGACCGAGGGTTACGTTCCCACCAAGCATGGCTCAGTTCATGAATGACCCAGCCAACCTACAAGCCATCCAGGGCTTTGGTCAGGTCATGGCCATGTGCCAGCAGAATGTGGGGATGCCTTTCCTCCCTGGTATGTTCCCATTCGCCCTTCCAGGCGCGGGAACCATGCCCCTACAAGCTCCGATGGCGGTGACGTCGTTCCAAACGCCGATGCCGCAGTCATCACCTTTCCAGCCCCAGATGGTCAGCACCATGGCCCCTGTCAACTTGGCCGGTGCACTTAACGCTGCAGGGCCGTCGCGTCCCCCGCAAGCTACGAATCCGCAAATCACTCCTGACGGTCATTGCGTCTCGATTGAGAGCGATGACGGCGAGTGGGACATCCCGAGGGCCCACAAGAAGAAGAAAGGAAAAAACATCCGGCCAGCGACCTCCCGAAACTCCGCCTTCGAAAGGCTGGGGGATAGGGAGGAAGGCCAGAGGAAGTCGGCCAAGCAGAGGCTGGGGCAGAGCGTTGCCCATGTCAGCGCATTCGCCCGGCTAGGCGAGGTGCGGGAGGCCGAGCCTGCCCGCACCCGGCGCTCCCGGTCTAACCGGCAGGAGCCAGCGAGGACGAGGGCCTCTCACCAGAAAGGGGAGGCAGAAAGCCAGCCCAGGTTACCGGTGGCAAACCGGTTAACCATCCCAAACGACCGCGTCCAGCAGATGGAGGCAAAGTTGGAAAGGCTGGAAAAGAAGGTCGGAGAGAAGAATGACCGGGACAAACCCCTGGCAGGGTCCCCGTTTACCACAAGGGTCCATCTGACACCTTTCCCGCGAAATGTCAAGATCAACGCCCCCAGATTCACCGGGAAGGAATATCCGGAAATCCACCTGGACTCCTTCAACCAGAGTGCGACCATGAACGGTTGCACCGATGAAGAAAAGTGCCTACTTTTCTTCCAGATCTTGCGGAACCGAGCCACTGAATGGTTTAATAAGCTTCGTCCGGGAAGCATTGATTCGTTCAGTGATTTAGCCTCAAAATTCAAGGCCAAGTTCCAGAAGAATTGTAATAAGAGGAAGAAATTCACCTATCTTAGTACAGCCGAGCAGAGGGAGTCTGAGAACCTTACTTAGTTCCTTACCCGGTGGAAGGAAGAGGTGGAGAAGGTGGAAGAGATGGATGACAAGACCGTCCTCTCCCTCCTCTTGAATGGCTTGCGTGCTGGGGAACTATACAAGGAGTTCTGCCGGAAACCCCCAGCCACGTACCAAGAGGCCTACCATACTGCATGGGAGTTTGCTGAAGCTGAAACCCAGCTCCGGGCAAAGAGGGAAGCTGAGCATGGTCACAAGCCCAAGCCGGTGCAGGTCAAGAAGGAAAAAGCACCGGGATCTAGCCGGCCGAGGCACCACTATGACCCGGTCATCCGAGTGGTCAATACGGAAGAATGCCAAGAAGTCCGGAAAGCACCGGTCATTCCTCCAGAAAACCCTACCGGTCAAATAGGGCGGCAGTGGTCGGGCACCTATTGTTCGTACCACAGGTCAGATTCCCATAACACCTCCGAATGTAAGAGTGTTAAGGGAGTAATCCGGCAGATGATAGACAGTGGAGAGCTGGGCAACGATTACTTGCAGAGAGCCCAAGAGAAGAGTCATCAGTGGGTTAGGCCAGCTGCCCCAGGGAACGACCGGGACAATGACCGGCGGAGGAATAACCGGCCAAGGGAGCGACAACCTGCTCCCGAAAAAGAGCACATCGGCATGATCTTCGGCGGACCCGAGGGTGGAGATTCAGCCGCGCAGCGGAAGAACTGGGTCCGGAGCATTTACGTTGGAGAGGTAAGTGCTGAACCGCCCAGGCGTAAACATACTAGGAGGGAGCCGATCGTCTTTACTGACCGGGATCTCACTCCTACCGGTGAAGATCACAATGATCCATTGGTCATCACCATGGAAATTAATGGGGTGGATGTCGCCCGGGTACTTGTTGACACCGGCAGCAGTGTCAACATCTTATACCTGGAGACCTTCCAAAAACTCAGGTTGTGTCGAACACAACTTGAACCTCTCAAAACCCCTCTCTCAGGCTTCACGGGGGACACCGTTGAAGCTGAAGGATCCATAGTTCTACCGGTCGAATTAGGATCAGGTGAAAAGACCGTGTGGAAGAAGATGCGGTTCATAGTTGTGGACATCAAATGCATCCACAACGCAATTCTTGGAAGGCCAGGCATCAATAGAGTCGGGGCGGTGATTTCCATGCCTCATCTATGCATGAAGTTCCACACTCCAGGTGGTGTGGGTGAGGTGAAGGGCGACCAGAGGAACGCCCGGGAGTGCTATGCCCGGGAGAAATTGGAGCCCGAGGCCGAGACGGTGGAAATCGAACTTCACCTGGGTGATTCTTCGAGGATGGTCAGAATTGGAGCAAATCTCCCCGAGGATCTCAAGGAGCAGATTACACGGGTCCTCCAAGAATACGCGGGCATATTCGCATGGAGCGTGGCGGATATGCCCAGTATAGATCGCTCTGTTTTCTGCCACCGGTTGGCCGTGAGAGAGGGAAGTCGACCGGTACGCCAAAAGAAGCGGTACCTGGCCAGTGACCGGCGAGACTTTGTCAAGAAGGAGGTGAAAGACCTCCTCAGTGTTGGTCACATCCGGGAAGTCAAGTACCCGGATTGGCTGGGCAACGTTGTCCTTGCTCCCAAGGGCGACACGTGGAGAATGTGTGTGGATTAACGGACTTGAACAAGGCTTGTCCGATGGATTCATACCCCCTTCCCAGTCCAGATCAAATGGTGGACGAGACTGCGGGGTGCGAACTCCTAAGTTTCATGGATGCCTTCAAGGGTTACCACCAAATCTACATGGCCAAGGAGGATGAAGAGAAGACTCCATTCCTCACACCCGAAGGAACCTACTGCTATCGGGTAATGGCGTTTGGCTTGAAGAACTCGGGGGCAACCTACCAGCGCATGGTGAACAAACTCTTCAAGCCATTGCTGGGAAAGACCATGGAGGCATACGTCGACGACATGCTGATCAAAAGCCAGGTATCTCTGAACCACCCGGCTGATATGCGAGCCACGTTCGACATCATGGCAAGGTTCAACCTCCGGCTGAATCCTAAGAAATGCGTCTTCGCGGTTCGTACTGGGAAGTTCTTGGGATTCATGGTGACCAAGAGAGGAATAGAGCCCAACCCAGAAAAAATCCGGGCTATCACTGAAATGCAGGCCCCTACCTCCGTAAGGGATGTTCAGAAGTTGACCGGTCGTTTAGCGGCCCTCAGCCGGTTCCTTTCCCGGTCAGCTGAGAGATCCCTGCCCTTCTTCAATGTTCTGAAGAAGGCCAACACATTCGCATGGGACGAAGAATGCCGGAGGGCATTCGAGGAGCTGAAAGAGTACCTAGCGTCGGATATTGTATTGTCTAAACCCGAACCGGGTGAAACTCGGTATCTGTACTTGGGAATTTCCCCAAACACTGTAAGCTCCGTTTTAATAAGAAATGATGGGGCACAAAAGCCCATTTATTATGTGAGCAAAGCACTAAACGGGGCTGAGAGTAGATATACGACGATGGAAAAGACAGCCTATGCACTTTTCATCTCCGCAAAAAAGTTAACATCCTACTTCCAAGCTCACCCGGTAGAAGTCTTGACTGACCAACCGCTGGGTGCAGTGTTGCGAAATTTAACATCCTCCGGGAGGATGGTGAAGTGGGCGATGATGTTAACTCAAATCCACATTGAGTACCGGCCAAGGTCGGCAATTAAGGGACAGGCCCTAGCTGATTTCCTGGTAGAAATGACCGGTCTAACTCCAGACTTACCGGTCAACAAGCCCACTGAGCAATGGTGGGAGATGGCAGTTGACGGGGCATCCGGTCCTAGAGGATACGGGGGTGGTATCGTGTTCACCACCGCAGAAGGGTTCAAGATCTACCATGCAATCGTCTTCAACTTCAAACTGACGAACAATATGGCAGAATATGAAGCTCTGGCTGGAGGGCTCAGACTTGCCCAAGCCCTGAAAATCAGCCGGGTCAGTATCAAATCTGACTCTAGCCTGATAGTTGGGCAAGTGACCGGTAACATGGAAGCAAGGGAAGGACGCATGGCATAATACAAGGACCTTGTACATGCCCTGTTGAGAGGCTTCGAAGAGTTCAAGATCGCCCAAATTCCCCGGGCGGAAAACGCGGATGCAGACCTTCTCTCCAAATTGACGCAGTATGCTCCCGAGCATGTTTCAAAACTTGCCCGGGTAGAGATCCTTGACCACGCAAGCATCGAAAAATTGGAAATCGCCGCTATAACGGCCGGAAGCCAATTTGACCGGTCAAACTTGGTCGGGGCGGACGACCATTGGATGTATGATCTGATGGAATATTTGGTGGATGGGAGCTTGCCAGAACAAGATGACCGGGCAAGAAAAGTGAAGCTCAGGGCACCCCGATTTCAGATTCTTGATGGAAAGCTGTATAAAAGGGCATTTGGGGGGCCACTCCTGAGGTGTCTAACCAACCGGGAGGCTGAGCGAGTCATCGCGGAGGTCCACGAAGGCGTATGCGCGGCGCATCAAATGTCCCGTACGCTTTCCCAACGCATCATATTGTTGGGATATTACTGGCCAACAATTGTACAAGATTGTGAAAGGTACGTCCAGAAGTGCAAGACGTGCCAAGTATTCTACAAATATCCCGGTAGACCGGCGACCTACTACCACCCCGTATCGAATGTCATCCCATTCGCTAGATTCGGGGTTGATATCATTGGAGCCTTTCCAGTCGCCCAAGGAGGAAAGAAGTTCGTAATCGTAGCCATCGATTACTTCACCAAGTGGATTGAGGCCGAAGCATTGGCCAACATCACCACGCAACAATGTAAGAAATTCATTTGGAAGAACATCATCACGAGGTTTAGAGCGCCCATGAACCTCATCACCGACAACGGCCCACAATTCCGAAATCCAAGATTCACAGAATACTTGGAGGGCTTCGGGATCAAGCACAATCGCTCTTCGGTGGCGTACCCCCAAGGAAATGGCCAAGTTGAAAACGCCAACAGAACTATTGTAGATGGTTTGAAGAAACGGCTGGGAGAGGCACCCTTGTTCACCGACCTTCTCGAGGGTGTGTAGCATACCCGTAAGGCTCATTGTGGGTCCTCCCGAGTACCCCTTTGAGGTAAGAGGGATTGGATACCCACACTTCGTTCCGACGGGTAGCTTCGACTTAAGGGGTGCAAAGCCCTCAGTTTAATAGTTGGGGTCGTCTTACTCCTTCTAGTGAACCGGCTTGAGTTGATGGTCGAAGAGCGGAGAATGGCCGCGGAAGTTAAAATGAGTACATACCAACAAGTTGTGAAGAAGTACCATGACAACAAGGTTGGGCCGCGGTACTTCCAAGTTGGTGATGAAGTCCTACGAAGAAGAGAAGCAAGTAGACCCGGCTACGGGGGAAAGCTAGCAAAAAACTGGGAAGGCCCATACAGGGTTAGAGCCATCATCCGGCCAGGAACATACCGGTTGGAAACTTTAGATGGTGTACCGATAGAAAGAACTTGGAATTCCCACCATTTTCGCAAGTTCTACAAATGATTGTAATACTAGGCGAGGCCTAACTACATTATCAATCAAAGTAATATTCAATGCTCTACTTGGTAGCGGCGGAATTGGTAGGTCGAACCTATCCTAGGAGGGCTTCCTGGGTGGATCGAACCAACTTGGATAAGCCAACTGAGACACAGGCCCGGACATGGCACGCTGGTTACTACATCGGTCTTGCTCAGTATAATAGAAAAAATATTAAAACCCGGAAGAGGGGCCCGGAAGAGGGTATGCCTGCAAGAGGGCTGGACCTGAAAGAGGGTTCGAACCGTACTTACACGGGCCCATGAGGTTTGACCGGTGTCGGGGAATCAGCCGGCGCCGTCAAATTGATTGGGGACTAAAAGATGCCCATTAAAAGAAATAGAAGGGGATCGTCCACCGTGGCGCATCCTGTTTCCCCCTTCTCAGGGAAGACTTGAACGGGAGGGTGAGCTAAGGCCTTCCCGGAATGGTAGAAATCAAAGGGCCATTAAAAGACTTAATCACTCGGAAGAGGGGGCTTGGAAGAAGGGTGCATTTGAACCTTGGAGAGGGTTCGAAACCATTCGACATGGTTAAATCTCCAGTATTCTTACCGGTTAAGGATACTTCAAGAATTTCTAGGTTACGGTTGTTTCCATCTACAACCTACATGTTAAAAAAATAAAAAAAAATAAAAAAAAATACCCCGGTCGGGTATGGGCACAACAGAACTTCGAAAGTTCCACAAGGCAAGGCAGGTGACCGGTCACACCAGGGAGTGGAACCTACCGGTCAAACTGTACTTTATCAAAGAATTTGTGAAGCTGTCCAAAGGGCCAAAGTAAAGTTCGGCCGGTCAAATTTTTAAGTTGGCCACCATGATGAAGACATTCGAAAAGCAAAAATTGAAGTTTAACCGGTCAAAGTTACTCGAGCTAATCCTTCAAATGAAGTAATCAAAGAGAACTTTGAAGTTCCACCGATCGAAAACAATTGAGAAGTGGCCTAATTTATATACCGGTCAGAATTTCTATGATGGTATTCTAAGAGGCAAGAGCAAAGTATAAATCAACAATTAAGCAGATATGCAAGATCCACCGGTATGGAAATTAAACATGGCATTCAATTAAAATAAAAATGTCAAATGTTTACAACTACACCAGGCATTCCCGGGGAAATGAGTTTGAAGTTTTACAAAGAACAACCGGGCGTAGCCGGGGAGTTTACTCAAGAGGGAAAGGGGGAGTGGGCTCTTCCTCAGGAATGGGGGCCAAGCCGTAGGATGCAGCACTGAAGTCTGGGTCTCTTTTAAGTAGTGCCCGATGAGAGGCGATCCGGTCCTTCTTTTGACCGCTCTTGAATCCGAAGGAGCCAATGGCGGTGATCATCTTTCTTCCTTCAAGCTCCCGGTAGAGATACCTGAAGGATTCCATGGTTGCCTCCGGTGTCGCCGTGAGCACCCGGGCGACTTCGGATTTGTTTTCTTCAACCCAGGCAGCGGCACGCCCGGGGAAGTTTTCTTCCTTCTCCGCCATCTCTTTTTTTGCCTCAGAGACCTCGTCCAGCAGCCGGTCATTCTCCTCCTTCAGCCGGGTGTTCTCTGCCCCCAAGGACCCGGCCATCTTGGACAACTTGGCCAGCTCATCCGTTTGGCTCTTGAGGAGGAGAGCCAGCTCTTCGTTCTTCTTCTTCAGCCGGGCCACCTCAGTTGGGGAGTCCATTCCCAACCGGTCGGCGGTGACAGGCCCTATCTCCCCAACCTGCACAACGTGTAATAACACGGTTAATCTTCGTGTAGCGTGAGGGAAAGGTTAACCGGTGACGAAAGATGACTTACCTCCCTCAGCCGCAGGCCAAGGTTGATGTAGGCCTCATCCACGGTCTGGTAGGCCGCGCCGGGATCTGTCCTCTGCCTCTTGTTCATGGCAGAGGGATGGTTGGTGGCCACCTTCTTGGTCCGGCGACCGGTCTTCTCTTTTTCCCTCCCCTTGGACCGGTTGTCCTGGGGTTCATCCTCATCCAAAATCTCCACGGTCTCTTGGTGGACTGGGAAGGTTCTGGCGGGATTAGCTTGGGAGCCCCCGGTCGCCCCGGCTGGTTGGTCGTCAGGGATGGCGAACTCCTCAAACTCCATATCTGCAAGAGAAGCTGAAATCGTTAAGTACTAGGAGAGACACCGGTCAAACTACGAATCACAAGAAAAGTGAAAAGTACCTGGGTGGTTCTGGCCCTCAGCCTCTGCAGTGTTGCTCGGGGAGGGTACCCCGCGCCCCGCTGCTTCCTAGGCCTGGGAGGTACCCTCACCACCCGAATCTACCCTCCAAACCCAGCTGCCTTGATGGAAGATCCTCCCGGTTTGAGGATCCCCGCGCATGAGGATCTCGAGACTAGCTTCCAAGTCTGGGGAGGAGGCCGGTGCAGTATACTCTTGGTCGAGGAGATGGTCATTCCATTTCAGACCGGCCAGAGGAGTGAAGAAGGGGGGAAACTCGATGAAAACAAACTTTTCCTTCCATCCCTGGTTACTCTGGGGGACTTCGGAAATGAACTTCCTACCGGTGCGGGCTTTGAAGAATACAAAGCCTTCGCAGCCAGCTCCGCCCGATAGGACTTCGAAGCAAAAAAGGAAAAGACGCAAAGAAGGGAAGATTTTCAGATGGGTACAGATATTTACAAAGGAATGGAGGTACCGGTGGGCGTTGGGAGTTATTTGACCGGGAAAAATCCCAAACGCGTGGCATACTTCAGTTAGGAGGGGGCGAAGGGGAAAAACTATGCCCGCATCCAGGGAAATGGTGTGGAACCCTATCCTATCCTCCCGGTGGGGTTCGACAATGTTGGGCCAGTTGGGTTCGTACAGGAGGGTATACCCGTCCGGGAGCCTCCTACGAATTTTGTTCAGGGCGATTTTGGATACACGGGAAGGGATGTCAAGGACGTAGAAGGTGGGAAGCGGAAAGTAACCAGCAGCATGAAGCCGCTCCTCCCACGCATCCCGGGTTTCGTGCTCAGGGTCGTAGGGGCCCGGTTCGTCGTCGACCGGGTCATCCCTCCCCACAAAAGTTTCACCGGGCATCTGATTAACGGGATGCGGGTCAGGAATAGAGGACTGAGGAACCTGACCGGGCGTAGAGTCAAGAGAAGAAGACCCGGTCGAGGAAGAGGAGTTGGAGTCCTTAGAGGAGCAGTCCTCTGAGGAGGAGATCCTATCACTTTGAGAAGACATGACGGGGAAAGTAGAGAAGGAAGGGGAAACTTACTTGGCTCGGGGGGCTGGATAGCGAAAGAGAGGGAACTTGACCGGTGAAAGCTCTGAGACTTGATCGCGGAAAGTGAACAAAGGAGAGGGGTGGAGGCCTTTATATAGGCGAGGAAGAATTGAGCGAGGGCGACGTGGCTTCCTCTGGGCACGCCGCGTCAGGCGGCGCCATCATGACACCTGGGGAAGGCGGGCGGACGCAGAAGAGGCGCGTCCAGCGCGCGACACGTGTCCAACGGATACTTTTCAAATTCAAAATTTGAAATATTCTAGCGGGAAACGGACAGAAATTCAAAATTTGAACCCATTTTCAGGATTTTTTACTTCCCGCTCATGACAAATTGCATGATCGAGAAGTGGAGGGCTTATTGATGGGTGTATTCCACCCACGACCGGTCAAAGGAGAAGGCCAGATCGTTGACCGGTCAATCTCGAGAGTTTTGGAAGGGAGACTTAAATCGTCAGCAAAACGATATATCATCGGCCAAAATATGACCGGTATACTTCACAAAAAAGTATACCGGTCAAACTACGTTGTCATCCTGTTTATTCCAGACTTCGATAAATTCATCCCTCGGAGATTACCCGGTGTAGTTTCTGGGGTTGGAAAGTGTCGGCAGAAGAGGATCTGCAAGGGCTTGGCGTGTAACGACCCGTGTCAGTAGAGGACAACTGGAGATGCTGAAGAATCGTAGGTTCCGCGATGAGCTGTTTCCCTTACTAGGGGGAGTGTTCCGCTGTTCCGTCGAGCTCCTGCTTTGGTCAGTGGAGCGTGGTGTAGTCGTCGTACGGGGGTGCACCCGCGTGCACCAGGACAGGGGAATCGGATCATATTTATGAGTACATTTCCTCAGAAAGGGGGATCCGAATTCATTCTCTCTAAACTCCCTTGTAAAAGCACCCGTGCATTCTCCGTTATAATACAAATTGGGCTACAGGTGTTCCACCTAAAGTCCTACCGGTCAATCTGCGTGTTTTTACCTTTCTTACTTTGCCAAATCGAACAAACTATTCTAGACCCGGTCTAGTATAATTTGACCGGTCAAGTAATTTACACCATCACCCTAACTATGACATCATACCTTTTTACTAATAATCTATCCATCAAATCATACTTTTACCCATCACATCAAAGGACATTTTTGGAAATTCAATACCAAAATACACTCCCTTAAATCCCTCCTAAAAAGCAAATGTCTCATGTTTCACGGGACAGAGGGAGTATTTAGTTATAATGTTAATTTTGTAATATTAGATATAATATAAAATAAGTTTTGAACTATATTTAATTTGTGGTGAAAGGGTGCCACCGCTTGACCAAAAGAGTCACATTGCGGAAATCTTTTAAGGACCAAAGAAGTATTAAAAGATGATATTATTTTTGGGAAAACATGTAAAGATGTGACGATTATATAATTTTTTCTATTATTACAAAAATTATCTGCAAAAATCTTGCATTTAAGCGATCCCCCAAAAATGAATCATTTCGCATTCTTTTTCAGTTACCCTCTCAAAACTTTTTTTACTTTTTAGTTTCATTATAGTGTAAAGAGTATATAATTCACTATCTTTTCCTTTCCACTAATCAAATTTTAATACAAATATTACTGCAAAATTTTTATATTTTGGACTGATGAAAAAAGAATGTCATACCATTCATTTTAGGATATATATAAATGAATTTAATTATTATTTAAATTTAGTATCATAAATTTTATTTTAAAATATATAGTTTTAAATTTTACTACTCCGTATATTTTATACTTCCCCCGTCCAAAAATTTCTTTTTTGAGTTTGACTTGACACATGGAGATTAAGAAAAGTCAAAAAGTATAAAGATTTTTCATGTGTTGCCCACTTGTCCTTGATTTGATGAAATAAAGTTTATATTATAGACAAAAGTAGGGGTATAATGGTATATTATTAAAAGTTTTTTTCAAAATAGGAAACGGGGGAAAAAATTTGACGACCCAAAAAAGAAAGTGAGAAAATTAATGGACGGAAGAAGTAATATATCTCAATTTATAAATAAAAATATTGATTATAAAAATATTAATTACGTACTCATCCGTCCCAAATTATATTCCATTTTTATTATTTACATGGACAAACTTTATTAACTTTTTTTAATTTTCAATAGTCATTTAATAAAATAATGTAGTCATGTCACTACTAATTTTATAGACTTTTTGATATAGTTTTTAAATATTTAACATTTCCTTATAAATATCTCTGTAACCCTCGAAGGAAAAAGGATTCAAATTTTGTCTCTCTAGTGCTCATTGTAATAACTCTCAATACTCTCCAATATTCTTACAAATAATTGGACTATAATTCTTTTCACCTACATTCCTATCTGTCATTTTCTATTTTCTTGTGCTTTTTAATATCTAGACTCAGCGAACTGTTCTAGACCCGGTCTGGTATAGTTTGTCATCAACAGTGACAAATTTTATTCACTTTTTTTTCCTATTTTATATGTGTGATTTGATAAAATACTATAGTCATGCCACTACTAATTTTATACTCGGGTAATTCTTTTGATTTATTTTTTAAATATGAAACGTTTATTTTATAACTCTACACTATATTTCATATAAGAAAATTTGAAAATAAGCATAGTCAAAAATCATAAATCCAAAATAGAATTTAAATTGGGGCGAAAAGAATATATTGGAAAGTGTGGAAATTGGAAAAGGAAATTAGAAATTTCAAATATGAGAATGGAGAAACTAAATTGGGATATGCTAGGGGTACACCAAATGTGCATCTCAAATGTACATCACCCACCTCTTTACCATTCATTTTATTTTACTTTTATTTTTAATTGTTTTTTAAATTTTTTGCCTTTTTTGTGGTGATGGAAGGGGTGGGGATGGTTAGGGTACACTTTTAATGTACCCCTAACATTTTCCAACTAAATTTTACGAGGTACTCCAGAGCAAGTTTTTTTTACAGCTATTAGGGTAGTTATTATGCTAGAGTGCTAGGCCAGGTACCATGGATAGCTATAATCATTAGCCATTGCAACTAGTTAGGGTCTAGGCTCCTAGCCACGAGATGAGCTTTTATTACTGGCGTTTCCTTAATTCCTTCGATAGCTTTTAGAGAAAAGTGACATACTCCATCAGTCTCAAATTATTTGCCTCATTTGTATTCTCGAAACAAAATATTAAATTTTTTCAATTCATTTTATTTACATATTGGTATAGAAATAAAAAATAAAATTTACATATAAAAAAATTACATGAAAAATTCTTCGAAATAAGAAGTGTCAAAAATATTTTATTTTATCAAATAACCTATGAAAACGTCGAAATAAACAAAAGTTCCCGCGACTGTTGAAAAAGTAAATGTTGTGAATATTTAGGGACAGAGGGAGTACTATCTTACGAACGGGACATTGGGGTTTGGGCGGGGTGTGTTCGTAAAATTGACGATCTTTATTTGGACTGATGAAAAATTTACGATTTCTATCCCCAAACCCCGTCGTAACCTGAGGCAATGGCGGCGGTGGTGGCAATAGTGACTACCGTAGTGGGGGAGGAGTAGTTACGGGACCAGGCGGAGGTGTAGTGGCGTTACCGCCGGCAGCTGGGGGTGGGTGGAGGTGGTGAGGTGATGTTGTAGGGAGGAAGAGGGCTAGCAAATTTAGGTGGAGGTGGAGCAGCTACCGGCGGAGGCAGAGGGGTAGTGGTGTTTCCGCCGTAGCCGGGGGTGGGTGGAGGTGGTGAGCTGATGTTGCGGGGAGGAGGAGAAAATTTGGGTGGAGGAGGAGTAGTTATCGGAGGAGGCGGAGGGGTAGTGGCGTTACCGCCGCAGCCGGGGACACAGGGCGGACAGCGGAAAGGACAGCCATTATCGGCTGTTATAGAGAAGAAGAAGATGAGGACGAAAGGATAGAGTTGCGTCAATTTGGATTTGGACGCACTTGCTCCTTAAGAGGGAAAAAAATTTGAATATAATTCCTGAGTGGGAAAGGTAAATTCCTGAGAAGGAAAATCGGCTTTTGGCAATCCGATTTTTTTTTTATTTTTTTAATGGATTTCGGCTTTCATAAAGCCATTTTCTTTTTTTCTTTTTGAATTTATTTTTTTCGGCTTTTGAAAAGCCATTTCAGGAGCTGTACAAATTTAATGCATGCATGCGCAGTGCATGCCTGCGTAGTGCGCAGTACCCCCTTCCCCTTTCTCCCTTTCACACTCCACCTCTTCCTATTCCCACACTTAATCCCTTCAACTACTACCCCTCCCAACTCCACTACAAATAATCAAATCTCTTCCTTCTTTTTACACAAAATACATAATCTCTTCAACTACATCTCACATTCTTTCTCTTCTTTTCTCACTAAATATTCAAAATTTATCTATTCTTCCATAATCATCCAAGAAGTTGAGGTATGTTTTCTTAGAATAATTCTTTATAAGTTTTTTAAATATGTAATACATATTTTTTTTACAATTTGTAATGCATATTTTTTTAAAATTTTACAATGTGAAATGCATTTTTTTTAATTTTACAATATGTAATGCATATTTTTTTTAAACAAGATTTTTTTAACCATTTTATTGTACTATGAGTAAATAGAAGCTTACTACAATTTTTTTTGAAGCATAATGTATGATCCTGAGAGAGAAATAGCGGGTCCTAGATCGAGGGACATTCTTACTTTACAAGCTACACATCGTTCGCGTGAGGTGTGGCATAACCCGAATTTTATAGACAACAAAGTCTCTCCGGTTCGCTACGAAGGTAGTCTTCCTACGGTTTTTTTTAAGGATAGAGTTTATGAAATGTTGCACGACTTGCACCGATCAGGGTTTTATGTAGTGCACCGTGTGCAACCTATCCGATTAGACCATGGTCTAATCACTTCTCTTGTTGAGCGCTGGAGACCGGAGTTACACGCATTTCAGTTTCCTTTTGGTGAGATGGGTATCACCTTACAAGACGTGGAATGCTTACTAGGACTTCCGATTGATGGACTCCCCGTCATGGGCTTTGATTTAACTGTTGAGGAACGGAATGTCTTATTTAGAGATGTTTTGATGTGGAACACCGAAGACACCCATTTTGGTCGTTTTGACCAATTCAAGATTGCCCTTCTTTTTGAGGGACAAATCATTCAACCAAATAATGAATGGCCTGATCAGATGGTGGCTCAATATACCGCTAGACTCATATATGCTTATATGAGTGGTTTATTATTTCCAGATTCTTCGGGTATGTACGCACCAATTGATTTCGTAAGATACTTACGATATTTTAATGAAACATCTACTTTTAGTTGGGGTTCTGCAGTTTTAGCGCGATTAAATTTTTCGCTCTGTAAGGCTGCGTTGAAGACTAACCCGCGAACGCGTCCCGGGGGTTGTCTTCTTCTATTGCAATTATGGGCGTGGACTCGGATTTTGACCATAAGACCGATACTGAATAATGTGCCGAATAATCCACACGGGCCTCCCCGCGAAGCCGACCCATTTGGTGCACGGTATTTAATTACATTAATTTAGATTATCGAGGTTATAATTTTTTTCTATAATTTTATTCAAGTTGCTGTGCATTTATTATTATTCAGGTGGAGACAGACCAAGATGTACAGTGCCTCTGCTAGGCAAAATGTACGCTACTTTAGGAATGAGCTTGACTGCTTGCAGTTCCGAAACGTAAGATTAATATTCATAAAATAATTTAGAAGATAATTTGTAAAAAAATAGATCAGAGATTGACTAATAATATAGTTCTGACAATATATAGGTTGTTTGGCAACCGTACGATACTGATAACTTGCCTGCTTATTGTCGTCGTAGTCCTCAACTATGGACTTTCCAAGGCTATGTTATTTATCGTTCGATTATTGAGCCTGTCATGCCTATGCGATTCACGCGACAGTTTGGGATGTTGCAAACCATTCCTGAGCTTACCCATCCGTATACGGAGGCCTATCATAAACCAAAGGGATGTAAATCGACCTAGACGGTACAAGCATGTGTGGCGTAATGGAGGGATAATTGCTTCGCCCTTACCGTTTTCCATGAAATGGAGCCCATTGTAGGAGAGAATCCATTCCAAATTACCGTGGAATATGCTAGCTGGTTTGCAACGTACGGTCGGCGTATTATTGGAAACCCATATCATCGACCTCTAGAGGGATCCGAAAATAGTTCTGCCAAACTTGCATTCTTGGTAATTTAGAAATTATAAATATTTAATTATAATAAAATAAATCCTTCACTAACTAATTTTTTTCGCAGGTGAATACAATAAAGAAAGCGGAGCGTCGACTCGGTAAAGTTCCCGGAGCGGTTGCAGCAGAGGTTCGAGAAAACCTTAGGGGTGCTTTAGAAAACTTTGACCCCAACGAAAATGAGCTTCTTGAAGACGAAGAAATGCATGGAGACGAGGATGAGTTTCATGCTCACGAGGTCGAGACTGGTCCATATTTCCCACAAACTGACATTACTCAACCCGGACAAAGTACCCAAGAAGATCTTTTTGGTGCGACACAATTTGACACACGCAATTTGGGTGGTGATAACTTCGCATCCTCGTCCATGCCGCATGACTATGATAACAGGCCGGTGATGGATTATTGGTTCGATCGTGGATTTAATTAAATTTATTGTAATCATGGATTTTTGTAATTTATAATTTCTATTTTTCGGTCATGTAATGGATTCTACTTTCTTTCACTTAAAAAAATTTTGTTCTTTTAAATTATTAATAATCTATATGTTAAGACAAATCAAACAAGATCACGCATGACTATATTTAGGCTTACACATTGAGAGAATATAGCGGGACGGAGGGAGTATTACTTAAAAAGTATAATTCGAAATATAAAGTTTAAAAAAAATTTCGGCTTATACAATAAAAAAAATTCGGCTTTTACAGTAAAAAAAAATATTTTTCGAAATTTTAAAAAAACTGTCAAGATTTCGGCTTTTACAAAGCCAAAAAATTTGAATTTTGAAATTTTAAAAAGTGCGAAAGATTTTGGCTTTTACAAAGCCAAAAAATTTGAATTTTGAAATGTTAAAAAAAGGAGGTAAAATTTCGGCTTTTACAAAGCCAAAAAAATAAAAAATCGAAAATTTTAAAAATTAGTGAATATTTTGGCTTTTACAAAGCCAAATCATTTGAATTTTGAAATTTAAAAAAAGAGAGGGAATATTTCGGTTTTTAAAAAGCCAAAATATATAAAATTTCATGTATAAATCTCCATACATGTCACTTTTAATACATACTACACTGAGCAATAAAATGTCTTATTTAGAAAACCAAATTCTAAACATATACTGGGGAGGAGAAATAATTCAAAGTAATGGAGATATTTCCTACACAAGGGAATATCAAAAAACTTTGATTGTTAATTCGAGTATGTCTTGGGAAAATATTCGCCAAGAAATTCAATCACATTATACTGCAGATGGTTACGGGATTATATCCAAAATATCTGGAAAAATTCCTTACTCCGTCCCCGGTATCAGTTCGATGAAATTGATGGGCATCGACAGTGATAGGTTATGGGAAATATTTTTCCAAAAGGCCATTCCCTTGGGTTTACTAGAAGTATACATCGACAGTGCTCGTGCGGGTGGAGATGAGGCCGGTCCATCGAGACGTGATTATCGTGTTCGTTTGCAGGGGGAGACGATTGCAGATGAAGTTATTGACAACCCTGACTCTGATGATGATGAAGAGTATATTCCTTCGGACGATGACATTGACACAGAAGAACATTGGATCCATGAAATGGAAGTTGAAGCTGGTGTAAGAGGAATTTCTGGTGGCGTGTCTGATGGCCCTCTTGCAATAGGTATGACCTTTCCCAATTTTGAATCACTTAAGGATGCAGTTACAAAACAATGTGTGGCGAACAATCATTTTTTTCGAAACGAATACAAAAAAGCGGGATCATGGGCATGTCGGTGTTGGTATTACAACAAAAGCCCACCCTGTTTTTGGCGTGTTCAAGCACGAGGATTAAAATCTGGAGTGTGGAAAATAAAACAATTGTGATACGTGCACACTTGTCATCCAGATTATTCTCACGGTGGAGATGATTTAAACATCGATTATTTCTCCATTGCCCGGTTCATTGTCGGAAAAGTACGTGTAGATCCTGAGTACAAAGTGAAGTTAATCCAACATGATGTTTTACAGGAATTTCATGTTCCTGTGTCGTATAAAAAATGTTGGTTAGCTCGGATCCGTGCTACAGAGTTGTTGTACGGTAGTTGGGAGAATTCGTATTCTCAACTTCCTATTATGTTGTACAATTTACAAAATTCTTATCCAGGAACTGTAGTCGATGTTGTCTATGCATCCGAACCACCAAACCTTAATGCTACGCCTGAAGAGGCCCCGCGCTTTAAGTATGCATTTTGGGCGTTCGCCGCGGCAATACATGGATTACAATACTGCATGCCTGTAGTGACGGTGGACGGAACTCATTTGTACAGAAAGTACAAGGGCCATCTCCTTCTTGCGGTTGCCATGAATGGTAATCGTGAAATCTTTCCTCTGGCTTATGCGGTTGTTGACGGAGAAACGTGTGAGAGTTGGGCTTGGTTTTTTCGCCTTCTTGTTCAGAGGGTTATCGGCTCACAACAAGTCTGTATTATTTCTGACAGACATATTGGGATCATCAACTCCTATCGTGACCTTCCAGAACTACAGACCGGATTGATAATGAAACGTTTTTGTCTTTGCCACGTTCGGAGCAACTTTATGACAAAGTTCCGGAACAGTGATCTTAAAAATTTGCTTTGGGCCGCTGATAGTACACATAATATCCAACAATTTGAAGGATATATGGCTGAAATACGAAACATGAGTGAGGAGGGATATCAGTATTTAAATGATATTCCCCGTGCGGCATGGACCCTTTGTTTTGATGGTGGGTTTAGGTGTGGTATCTTAACGACAAATAGTTCCGAGAGTTTCAACAATATGTTGAAAGGTTGTCGAATGTTACCTGTCACTGCCATTTTATCATGTCCTATGCCAAGATGGTTGAATTGTTTGCTAAAAGGTACAAGCTTGGTATTCAGTGGCAAGAACAGAGCATGCACATTACTCCGAAAATTAAAAATGTTCTCCTTAATCGGGAGAAAACTAAGCACAAGTGGACAGTCTCAAGCTACGGTAACAACCAATACGTAGTGACTCACACATCTCGAACAGATCCTTCTTCCATTTACAACTACTTGGTCAATTTGTTTAATAGTGTGTGCACTTGTGGGCAGTGGACTTCCGATAATATACCTTGTGTTCATGTTCATGCTGTTTACCACTCTTTTCGACAACAAGTTCCTCACAACATATTACCGGCTAGGTACTCGGTTCAAAACTATTTGAGTTGTTATAGTGGTATAATTCAATCTGTTCTTTTCCCTCAAAATTTGGATGTTGGCAACTTTAAAGTTCTACAACCCAAACGGCCAACAGATGAGATTCCACGTTCAGGGAGACGTCAACGCAATCGATACCAGGGCGAGATGGATTTCAGGGCAAGGAGATGATTTTAGTTTAATAATTTTTTTAGTTTGTTTCAGGGAAGGTATTGTAATTCTTGTTTACTTCAGATGTTGAGAATGTAACTTTCTGTTGATGTTTTAATATATTTATGTTTTCAATATTGCGTTCTTTTTCTTGTTGAACATCTCTTTATTAAATTTTTATTGGTTGATTTTTTTTAAAACAAATTATATATTGAATCATAAAAAATATTTCTTTTTATTATAAAAAATAGTTTATGAAATGGCACAATTTTTTTTAAACGTAAGTGTGTATATTATATGCAATGAAAAAATCATGAAAGCCATTTTTAAAAAATTTTTTAAACAAAAAACGGCTTTTACAAAGCCAATTTATTTATTTTTTTACAAAAAACGGCTTTTACAAAGCCAATTTTCAAAATTTTTTTTTTGTAAAAAACGGCTTTAGTAAAGCCGATTTTCTCTCTGGGGAATTGCCTGCACCAAAACTTCCCTCTGCGGGAATTTATTCTAATTTATTTAGGGATTATGCATGTATTATACGGAGTACTCTATATTTAAGGAGTAATTATTATTTTTGATGGTAATAATGAATTGAAGGAGCTAGCAAGGGAATAAAGATGCGCCCCTTCCCTGAGCTCAGGACCCTCACATCCCGCTGAGAAGAGTAAAATTAGATTTTGATCATAGATGGATGACAAAAAAATAAACCTACACCTCGTACTTGTAGATACTCTACGTTTATAACTATAATTGTCTCTCAGAACAATTGCCAAGAATTGAACTCGGGCCTATTCCTTTTGCACTCTCTGCTTTTGCTAAGTGTACAACGCTCACCATCGAGTCGTTAGGCTAGGGAATAAATTAAATTAATGATCATGAATTTAATGAAATAAAATTGCTAGAAAAAACCCCTTATGTCACCGTTATATTTCAAATTAAACCATGACCAAAACTCGAACACACATGAAAAGTGACATTATTAATTACGTGTAATACTCTCTCTGTTTCTTAAAATACCTCGTATTTCATTTTTTCTTTTTTCTAAAATACTTCAACTTTCTATTAAAAAATCAATTTTTACCCTACTTTTTCTTACCCTACTTATCATATCATAGTTTTTACTAATAATTTATCTATTACATCTTACTTTGACCAATCATATCAACATAAAATCGAAAAGTCGACCATAAATATACAATCATTATTTTTTGTATTAGTCAAAGTATATATATGAAGTGTTCATAGGAACGGAGGAATTATAAAAAGTAAGATTACTTTTAGAAAAACATGTAAAGATGTGACTACTTTACAATCTCCATCTAACATTCTGTATTACAAAAATTATCTACAATAATCCCACATTTAAGTGATTCTCTGAAAATGAATCGTTTCACTTTCTTTTTCAATTACCTTCTCAAAATATTTGTCACTTCTTTTCTTTCCTAATAAAGTAAGGATATACTCCATCCGTTCTCAAAAATACTTCTTTCATCTTTTCTACTTCCAACAAAATACTACCACTTTCTATTAAAAAAACACTTTTATCCTTACTTTTTCATACCCTACCTATCATATCATACTTTTTCTCTAATAATCTATACATCACATCTTACTTTTATCTATCACATTAATGGCAAAAATGGAAGTCAAATACAATTTAATACTTCTTTATTTTTATACTTGGTCAAACTAGAAACCCTTTTTGAGAACGGTGGGAGTATGGTTTACTATATTTTCTTTTCCTCTAATCAAGTTTTAATACAATTATTATTGCAAAAGTTTTATATTTTGGATTGACTGAAGAATGTGATCCAATTCATTTTAGGATATACAAATAAATTTAATTATTATATAAATTTAATATCAAAATATTTATTTTAAAAATAAATTACATTTGATATTTTTATTATATATATATATATATATATATATATATATATATATATATATATCAATCTATAAATAAAAATATTTATTATGAAAATATTACTCCCTCTATCCCAAATTAAATTCCATATTTACTATTCACATGATCAAATTTCATTCACGTTTTTTTCTTATTTTTGTTAGTCATTTGATAAAATAATATAGTTATGCCATTACTAATTTTATGAGAAGATGTTTTGATGAAGTTTTATGAGTCATAACTTTTATTTTTAATTCTACACCATTTTTCATATAAAATAATTTAAAAATAAGTTTAGTCAAACATCGTATGGTAATCAAAACACACAATTTAAATTGCCAAGAAAGAAGTATATTAAAAACTATGGAAAACGAAAGAGTAATGCTTTGTTCACCCATCACAAACTTACTATTTGTGAATTTTAATAAAATATAAAATAATCTAAAATAATTTTAAAATAAAAATTTAAATTTAAAATAATAAATTTGTTAAATTTGTGACGGGTAAATTTCACAAATGGTACCTGAACTTTAGCTGAAATTTCGAAGTGGTACCTGAACTTCAAATCCTTTTACAAAAATCCCTGAACTTACACAATCCTTTCACTAATGAGCCATTAGCCCGTTTCTAGGTTAACTTCCGGTCATTAGGGCCAAATTTGAATTTTATATATTTTAAAATTTTCAATTTGACCCCATTTCTTCTTTTCTTTTCTTCCACGCCCCGCCGCCGCCGCCCGCCGGTCAAAGTCGCCGGAAAATGAACTTTTTCCGATTCCGGCGGGACCAATGTCATTCTCTTCGTCTTGAGACGAGGATCAATAATATCCAAACCATTTTGTCTAATTTGGCCTGTAACTTCTCGAATCTGAATTTTTCTACTCGAAAAAACCCTAAAATTCGAAATTGG